TGATGCGACACTTGGAGGCATACCTGCTTTGGCTGTTTGGCTGGGTACTCTTCACTAGTTCTCACCACGACACCGTCGATAGGCACTTCGTCTACTACGCGGCGCAGATAGTGTACGCACCACTTGAGGCGATTCGCTAGTACAGTTGGGGTTCTGCAGTGCTGGCAGCTACATACCGGGCTCTGTGTGATGCTTGCACTCGAAGGACTTTGACAGGTACGTTGGCTGGTCCGCCTTTATTGTTGATGTTGTGGTCGTTCGAGCGGTTTGATATTGGAAGGCTGACCTTGTCGTCGTATGATCTGTACGACAACGAGATGTACATTTTCGACCAGTTTGGTGAGGCCGACGACCTCGACGCCCCCACAATGGGCACACTCTGGTTGTCCCATGAGGTAAGTATCCCGTCTCTACTATTTTTTCTTACATGTTAGTATTATGCTTTGAATCTTCATCAATTTTGTTGTTCTTTGCAGCCGAGGTGGGCAACCGGCATAGGTAGAGGCACGTACAATGCGTATGTCGCTATGCTGGACCAGCTCACAGCTGATAGGGTTCGATGGACCCCATACACAACAGTTGACATACAGTTCCGTGCTCCGTGTGGCTTGTCGGAGTTGTGCTACCGTGACCAGGAGCTGTGGTGCATGAGGAAAAGACTAGTGTTCGACATCTTGGTCGAGCCATACTGTCCAAAGCGGGTGGCACGTCAGTTTGGGCGTGCGCAGGTCTTCCCCCTTCCCCGACTTCAGCTTGACGGGTCCCACGGGTAAGTCTTGTTGCATTAAGCGTTCGTCTAGATGTTGTCATAGATTATTCATTATTAATTGTATTGCAGGCATTCAAGGAAAGGTTAAGGTGTAGCGTTCGTGTAGTCGTGGGTGGATAGGATGGTGCCTTGGGTCAACGACTGGGCACAAGCTGCCACTGACGTGCACGATCTTGGTGGGCCATTCGACGAGGCCATGTACCGAGAGTACTTGCGTTGGTTCCATGGAGCCACACGCATCTGTTGCTTCCCCGTGCAGGTAGAGGCCGCACCACACAAGGCCGAGATCACCGACACGTTTGCGATGGAGCCACCAGCTACTTTCCATGCGCTGGTAAGCAAATTTCTTACATACGTTGTCCTATCCTAACTTTGCAAATGAAGCATAACAATACATGGGACAATACATGCCTTGCTTGTAGACAGATATCTGCAGTGACGTGGGCAACGAGCTGCTTTCGTATGCCTAGTGGTTTGAGCACAACCTCCCAACGGTTGGTAGGCTGGAGTTGGTTGCCGCCCTTAGACGACTAGGGCAACGTTGCTTGGCGGGAGTATGCCAGGCATCATGCCATCACACCACTGACGTAGTTGTTCACGCCCACTAGGGTGTGCCTCCATCTCCACCTCCACCACCACCTCCAGTCGATGGATCGGGACGACGGTCTCGTCCATCCCAGCACGGGGTCGTCCATCCCAGCACGGGCCACAACAGAGGGTTCAAGTCCTAGGTAATTCAACGATTACCTTCCTGATTTCTCATGTACTATGTATGTAACATGCTCTATCTAACCTAGCCTTTTTGGTATAGGTACACGTGCTTCTTGTAGTGACTACACGGAGGGTACTAGCAGCTTTGGGACCTTTCACACGGACGACACTCCACCTTGGTTCCCCGAGGAGGTAGGGCCCTCCCAACATTCTGGTGCACCTCTACCGACTCAGGGTACTGGGCATATGGAGTCGACCCCACCTGCACGACAGCGACGTCCTCTAGACCAGTGGACTTACCCTACGGCCCAGGTTCATCACCGAGGTGCGTAGGCAGCTAAGTGTGGTCGTCGTGTAGGACTATATGGTTGTATGCTAGCATGGATGTATGCATGCGAACTAATGTACTCTTGGATTTGTGATGCGAACTAATAAACTAATGTGCGCACTTTTGCAATGGAGGCAATGCTCCAATACAGTCCCTCGCCTGCATCGAGGCAAAGGACAATTAAAACGTAAAAGGATATTGTTTAGCCTTTGCATCGAGTATTCTAGCCGGAGATGATTGTATTCGTCAAAAAGTATCACATCGGGTGATGGCTGTGTCTAGAAAAGAAGGAATACAGCATGAAATAGAGTTGTCGGCCGCGTGGGGCCCGACAGTCGTATCGACAACTGGGCTGCCGACTTCCCTGTCGGCGCGCCAAGAGCCGACTGGTCCTGTCGGACTTCCACAGGCCGACTGGTCCTGTCGGACAGTGTCCCTGTCGGTGTCGACAGGCTATTTTGGCGGGTGTCGGCTGCCACTTGTGTGCCACATAGGCCTATCGGCTAGTCAGAAGCCGACAGGTGTACTATCGGCCCTTGAGCGGCCGACAGGCTGCTATATGTCAAATTTTTGTGTAACGACTTCTAGATTTGCCATTAATCATTAAAAATATTATTTAAAAAAATTTCCACTTTTGTAGGTTGTACATTACGTGTTTGTGTAGTGGGAAGTTTTGGCGTCAAGAACTCTCTCATTATTATATCCGACTACATTTTTTGATGGTGATACTAGTCATTAAAGATAAGGTTTACATAGCTCACATGCTATTGCCAAAAGTAACTATATTGTCCTCTGACTAATCGGCAACATATCAGGTGCAAACAAACAAATCAACCTGTGCAAACTTAGAAACTAACGATCAGGACCACTAGATGCTAATCCAATGGTTAGGGTGAGAGGGCTTAAGCGAAAAAAAGGCCGGACGGGTGGGGGCTTAAGCGCAAAAAAATCCCACATCTCACCCCATCAATTGGATCAACATCTAGTGGTCCTGATTGGTATTTTCTAAGTTTGCACAGGTTGGTTGATTTACACCTAACTAATCACGCGTCACTCTCAATCCTTTGGCAAATCTATACAGAAGCCTAGAAGCAACAGCTCAGACCCCAACAGAAACATGCATCATCCCACCTCTTCATGCTAGTCTCTCTTCTTTCCTCTCTCTTAACACTAACACGTCACCTAGCTCAGCAAAGTTTTCAATTGTGATGATGATGGTGGTGGTAGCCAACCGAACCACGCACCCATGTCCACTTATGTGTCCTTTCTGTTAAAGGAGATCGAGCGACACTTCTCCGTCTCATTGTCCTCTAGTCCTCTTATCCTCATCTTAATATCAATCCAACACTAATCATATCTTGCTTGTTAATTACTCCTACTTAATATATAACAACTATCTAGGAGCTAATTCCATTCTTTGGTTATTATCTTATATATATACATACATTGATGGATCTTGATCCCTCACCTTTCTTTTTCTTTTTCTGCAAGAAGACGAGGTGTGACGTATGACATTAATTTATCACTTCTTTCATGTGCCTAAATTTTAGGGTGACTTGAGACAACACTCTTGTATAACCAACTAGTACATGAAATTATTACTTTTGTGATTTGTTATTTGACTTTATATCATAACTTGTCAAATTTTTATCCTTGTCTGACTATAAAAACAATTATAAATTGTTAATTGCATTTGTGCCAACACAGATCAGATTTTGCATTTGTGGTTTTGTTTAACAGATTTTTTATTCTCAGAACCGAAAATTGTAGATTATGTCTATATAAATTGTAAGGAACTTAAGCTATAATTTTAGTATAAAAATTGAATAAGACGAACAGTCAAACAAGAGTCTAAAGGAAAAAAACATCATTTATTTGGAACTGAGAGAGTACTCTATGAGCTAACGTGAAGTATGAGATAAAGTGGTTGCGTCCCTATATAATGATGTCGATGAATCAAAGGTCAAAGCATTTTTGGTTGTACGTTTGAAATCTGAAAAAGCAACGACGGCACACTAATTGATGATGACGCATATGGTCGCTGAAGTTTGGACCTGCTTTTCTCAACATCGTCATCGATCCAAGACCCGACCGGAGTCAAGATCTTTAATTACCTGCCTTCTAACTCGATCTTATCGACAAAGCTTTTGAGACTTACTTCCTCCCTCATGCACGTCTGAACACAGATCGCGCGATGTCTTTTTTTCTTGTCTTTTTGATCGGTTTTATCCCTAAACCAAGAGGATTAGGGGATTGAGGGAGATTAAGGGCCTGTTTGGCAGGGCTCTGGCCCTCTGAAAATAGCTCCGACTCTGGCTCCTTTGAAGGAGCAGCTCCTCTGGAGGAGCTGAAGCCGTTCTGGAAAACATTTGGCAAAACGGCTCCTTCACACTAGACGACATGAACCCACAGCAAGGAGCCATGCGAAGCTCGTTTTTTAGACTTCTCCTGAGCAGGCGAAAAATGGCTCCAACTCTTGACCGACTCCCCATGCGGAGCCCTTTATAAAACAGACGTTTGGCACAGCTCCTGCAGGAGCCGGAGATGAAACCCTGCAGGAGCCCTGCCAAAGAGGCTCTAAATCTCCTACACAAGTCAAAATCCCTCTCAATTTTCTCTAATCCCTCCTAATCTTAGTTTAGAGAGTCCGGAGCAAATGATGTATACTGTACTCCGTAGATGTTATAGTGCACTAATAAATTGAATACAAGAAAATAAATAAACACCTTCATCATTGGTATGCATGCATGACAAGTTGACAACAACGGTACCTGGCGGCGGTACCTGTTCGCTTAAACTTATCAGCCTGACTTATTAGTCGTGGTATGATGTTTTTCTCTCATAACAAATCAGCGAACAGTACTTTTTAGCTTGACTTTTTAGCGAAACGAACGTGAATGTGGTGAATGTAACCGGCCCAGCAAAAACAACACCCCTGCTACATTGCACATGCATGGTTACCTTTATCATTGCAGCAAACAATAAGGCGACACGGAGGAGCTACCAATAATAATTATCCTTATCATTGCAGGAAACAATAAGACGAGATGAAGGAGCTAGCGATAACAATATATACTTGGTTCTTCCATTCCAAATTATAAGACGTTTTAGCTTTTCAAGATATACTAATTTTATTATATATCTACACATAGTGCAAAATTCGCGCACCAGCTGCCCCTGTTCGACGTTAACATGGACATCGTGCACGCCGGGCACGACCTCGGCGGCGGCGGGTGGATGGGCCCCGGCGTGATGCTGGAGTTCGCGCTGTTCGCCGTGTACAGGGTGCTCAGGTCAAGGGGGCTTGTTCTGGCTGGACCACTTCGTCTGCGCCGCCGTGTAGCTGAACACGACGTTCGCGCCGATGATTGATCGCGTCGGGTTCAGGAAGCTGCGGTGGAACACTGGCAGGGGAAACGAGAAGGAGAAGTGGTACGTGTCGGCACTGTTGGAGAAGCCCATGACATGAGCATGAGAACATTTGTGTGCGTTTGTTTTTTTACAGGGAAATGATACTTTAACTTTAAAAATTAACAAACAACTTATATGCAGAATACTTCTAACTACAGCTTCAGCCATTTGCATGTTTTAGCTGCAAGAAGTCAGACGCCGCATCTTGGACTAAAATTCTTCTAGATCATCATTGATTGGTGACCAACTGCAGCTTGGTATTCGTGCAAAGCACGTTCTCTTAGTCGAACTATTGAGATATTAGATTCTTAATTGTAAAATAGATTCTAAAACATGTATTGTGAAACACAAACTTGTTATGATTATCTTTCCGTATCATTTGATTCCTAAAGAAGTGCAAGCTTATCTTTCACGTATCATAGGTATGAAGTGATGCGATAATTGAAGTTGATGTTTTAGTTTTGCATTCAAATTTAGAGTTATATTTTAATTATCTATCTTTCGTGAAGACTTATGTAATATTGATTGTAACATTATGATTGTGGTATCTATTTTAGATAACAGTATAACACATGCTCATACATATGTTATCGTGGTATTATATGTTCCCGTTGCAACGCACGGGCATTTACCTAGTAGACAAAAAATATTTATGTAATAGTATGTGATCTTAAAGAGTGCACCAAGTCAAATCACGTCTTAGCAGGGTTACACAAGGCTTTAGGTCACAGGTTCGAAATAATCGAGAACGCACGTGTCCATAATCTTAAATTCCCATTCTTTTTCAAATTCCATTTTAAAATCGTCTCCGTAATTCACTCTTGACGTCTCTATGAATCGCATTCTTTTAGTAGTGAACGAAGATATGACCTTTTCTGTGAATTAATACTGAAAATTAAACAATCAACATATATAGTGAGGAGACGACCTGTTGCATGAAACAACAACATAATTGCTATATACCAGACTTCACATGTTGAGAGAAATAGAGATCAACTGTGTTGAAGCCATGGCCATCAAAACTTGTGGCCAGCCGGGTTTCGCCTAGCCTCGCTTCACACCCCAGAAAGCGCACTTGTCCCTGACCCAAACCACATCCATGAACGTGTGCTTGGGCTACCCGGGCGGCTAGCTAGGGCCGGCCGGGGTGGAGCTGAGCTGAGCTGCCCTCCGGCCGCCGGCAGGCCGGCCGGTCCATCTGCAGATTGAATGCATCAGCAAACCGGAAACTCCGGCAGCTGCCTTTCTTCGTGACTGCCTAAGATAATAACTGCTACGCGAGCGACGTGACCGGCTGGCTGTTGCTGCATGCTTCGGCCAGCAGCCAGCAGCCAGCAGCCAGGATAGATGATGCACGGCCTGCTTGTGCTTGACTTCCTGAAAGATGCAGATGAACGTGCATGCGCTCGCCGTCGTAACTCCGGTCACGGGCCGTTGAATGCCGCATGCCTACCCATCTTTGTCGCCTCAGCTCGGCAGCTAGCTACCCGTCCATCATTACTCGCGCCCGCCGTTGCCAACGCCATCTCAAGTGAAAGCGAGAAAAGCTGCCGGTACGTAGTATGTAGGGGACAGTTGGAGTACAAGTGAATTGCCAGTGTTTTCCAATCAGATTAATCTTTAAGGTGCCACTTCTCTGATTTTTTGTTATTGTTCAGGCATTTTATAATTTTGTAATTATTTGACTATAGAAAAGAAATTATGAATTATCTCTTGCGATTTATCCTTTTAATTTTTAATTATACTTGGTTGTCTAAGAATATTTCTGAAAAAGTCAGACACCTGAAATATAAAAACTTTCTTAATAAGCTACAACTAGTTTATGAGTGCAGCTCAATACTTATATATGGCCATTATATTGATGTTTTCTGAGACAAATCTACGGCCAAAGCCCCTATACTATTTACAAGCTATTTGGTTCCGTTGATGGTAACGTGAACGGTGATGTAAACAAATCACGGGGGGACTTGAGGGGGATCGTTGGTCCCTTGATTTGTCTGGGAGCGTGCAGTAAAGGTATTGGATACCGTTACTGTATTTGGTTCCGTCGCCGGTATCGTGAACACTGCACTGCACTGCACTGGTTTTACTCCAAATTTGAATACTGGGCTGATAGCTAATCTAACATGCCATTCAATTGAGTAAATTAATTGATGTCAAGCTACACAAATATATTAATATATTCTGACAAGAACATGACAAGATCATCAAAGAACATTTACGTCGGCCAAATGAAACGACCATTTCCATGATAGAACAATGACTATTTATGGAGGAGTTTAACCATATTAATTATAGAGGAGTTAAGCCATATTGCAAACCAACAAGTATAGCACTAGAGCAAGGCCGAGATCAAATCATATATAAATAAAACCGAGAAAAGGTAGAATGAAAGACAACATCTTCTAGCTTCTAGTCTTCAATGCATATTCAAATGCAAAGATACTGTCAACATTCCTTTTCCACCTCCAACAGCAAGCACAGTCAATAACCCTCTTCCACCATCAACTCTTGAATGGATATGCAAACATCTTATCTTCCTCCTTCTATCCGCTTCCTTGTCTCCTCCTCTACAAAAAAATGATTTTAGAAAGACAGCAGGAGTGTTGAAGATGGTACAAAGTATATGTGCATCAGAAAACAACACCACAAAATTTGTGCATAGCTCACAATGACAACAGTACAGAGTATGCATGGTTTATAAAGAGTGTTGGCTAACAATCGTACCGTTAAGCATGTTTAGAATGAACTCCCTCCTCAAAGACTGGTCAAGGGTTAGCAGCATACTCATTTGATCTGGTGATTTCACAAATACTGTAGCATCTTTGATTTGTTCTGTCCCAGTAAACCCCAGCTTGCGCAACTCTGCTACAGCCTTCTCCCTTAAAATCTGTTGTGGATTTTCATTGATCACCTTCTCTTGAATTGCAGCCTCATGGTCCATTGCTTCTGCCATTTTTCCAACATTACTAGCCACACCCTTCAGATCACCTTGGACTTCATGTAACATGTCCAGAAAAGGATCACTTGTTCCACTATCCTTGCTCTTCCCTCCTTGCCGCTTCCTCCTCTTGCAGCTAGATGATGCCGAGTCAACGGACCGTCTAGGGGTTTCTCTGGACATCCTATCCTCTTCTTCGCAATGCTGATTACCATGTTCAGCAGCAAAGCTCTTCTTCCATGTTGCCAACAGCCTCACTGATATCTTCGGCACCTTCACCAGTGGCTATATTATTTCTATATATTGCAGATAATGTATCATAGCAAGAGAATTTGGTGCCATATAGGCCCTTAGCATCAGGATGATCCTACATATGATAGTAGCAATATGTTAACAACTGCAAATAATGTATCACTTGTGTGCTGAAATAATAAACTCATGGCCAGTCAAAATGGACTATGCTAGAAAAATTTGAGATTCAGTAATAGTGACAATCCGAAGTCCATATGAAGTTATTTGAATGTATACTAGCTGCTCTAGTGTCCAACAGAAGAAATTTCATCATTTATGGACATATGTTTTGAGCACATAAAAGCTTTGATAATACCATGAGTCTATGGGATATAATCCTGCCATGTAGCTTATTATTTGGACGGAATAACTACTAGGATTGAAAACATTTTTGCACTGAACTAGTAGGACTGAATAGGCTTGTCAATAGTTTGCCAACTACAGCAGTATTTGGTAAAATCACAGGAACATGTACTCCAGGAGTAGTACCAATGAAAATAATATCACAAGAATTATAGAGTGTTCTGTGCCTAGTCCAAAGTACTGCTCCAATCATACATTCATATGTGATAGTAACATACTAACATAACCATAAGGAACTCTACAAACAGTCGACGCACAATCTTTACATCTTAAATAGAAAGAAACAAAAACTTTATATAGAATAAGCTTATAGCGATTAGGCTTTATTAGAGAAATACTAGAGTAATTGCTGCATGCTATTCTCATTGATACCTACTTTTAATCTCCTTGGAAAGCCTAATCAAAACTTATCATTGCGCAATCAAGTGGATCACAGAGTATTTGAAGGACTAGCACCAAAAGCATGATGGAGCTAGAAACTAAAACTAAAAAAAAGCAAGAATGCCACCAGAAGCATGATAGCACCAGAAGCATGATGGAGCCTAACTAACATGGAATCACCATGTTCTCATACCTCCTAACTTGGGAAGACAGGGCAGGTGGGTGAACATAAGTTTTTGAAACTTCAAAACAACCAACAGACAGGGCTCTGGCAGAACAAGCTCAAGTACAGATCCTTGAAAAAAATAGTATAAACCCAAGCTTTTCACTGGATCCACTAAGTCAACTAGATTAACTTCTACTAATTTGATATTGGACAGTTGTGTATAGAAGGCAAAGCACAATCATTACAGTATATGATCAAATTTACTTATCAACCATGCATGTCTCCAGCAGTAGAAATAATTACACAAGTATAGAAGACAAAGCATAGGCATTACAGTATATGTCTATTGCTATTCAAAATAATTAAACAAGTGATGTTTCATGAATCAGAACCCTCAATATAGGAAACCCTCAATATAGGCCCTTAGGAATCAGAACAAGAAAGCGCACACAGATACATCCTGGACAGAACAAGATTAAGTACTTGAAATCAACTCTCATGAGTCTCATCACCACAGACATGCATATGTAAAGGATAGCGTATCTTGCAATGTTTATCGTACTGTATCTTTTCACACTGAAGCATCTTCTTAGTATCATCCCAGGTGAAGCCGCTTCTGCTCAGCATTTGTTCCAGTGCTCCATACTTTGTCCTAAAATGCCTGACTCTAGACTCAATATGAGGTAAAGCTGAAATTCCAGCGCCTGGTAGCTTCTCAGCAAGAATGTCCTCTAGTGCAGATAAATACCCATTATTAAAGCCCCCTCCTTTCCCCTTCCACTTTGGCTCCAGTGATATCTCATATAGTGCTTTCATAAGCTCACCATCTTCATTCATAGTCCACTTCCTTTTATTCTTTCCCCTTCCACGCACAATTGTTGATTTCTGAGTAAGGTCCATAGCCGCATAGTATTAAGGCCATGTTAAAATACTACACAACTAATAATATAGAATAATTTTAGAACCAGAAGAATATGAAAAGCAGACCTCAATTAGAACTAGAAGAAGCCCTATAATTATTATATATCCCTTGAGTAAGAACATCTCGAAAATTAGTCCACTCATTAGAAGTTGACACACAGGTGATAAATTCTTGTTCACTAACTTCTCCTTCAGTAATTTCCATTGAAGGTACCACTGATTCATCCAAAATTCCATTGGATCTTTTGACATATTTTACAAAATTAAATTGTGCAAAAGGGCACAAGCCATTATTATTCGTCATTGAGTTTTTATAGGAAAATAAGATGGAGATATCAAAATTCCCCACCAACCCTTTAACTTTCCAAAACACCTCTCAATAATATTTCTTGCTTTTCCATGCCTCATATTAAAATATTCCTCTGCGCTATGTGGGGGATTTTGTGCAGTCCAGCCTCCCAAGTGATACCTTTGACCTCGATATAGAGCTAAAAAGCCATTTGCATTTGCATAGCCAGCATCCACAAGATAGTAACACCCTTTAAGATTGCAAACAGAAACAAAATCAACATTTGCACTAGATAACTTATCAGAAAACCATGAGTTAACAAAACCAAACTCGCCTTGGGGGATACGCAAGTCATTTGGCCTGGTAATGGCATCTCTCAGCACACGATACGCTGAGCCCTTCCAACCAAGTAGTACATAGATGAATTGCATATCAGGTGCACAAACACCTAGGACATTTGTCACAATATCTGCTTTTCTAGACCTATACCTTCCTTTTAGCTGAGTTGGAACAGTCACCTTTATATGAGTTCCATCCAAGGCTCCCAAACAGTTCTACAAACAAGATCCATATAGAAAAAAGAACTGTCACATGCTTACTTTGTAATATGTATTTTTCTTTGTTAAAAGAAAATTTTGTTAACAAGTCATTTACCTTGAAATATTTTCAATAACTATCTGTGCTATTCTCCGGTATTGGTTCTGGGGTCTTAAGCAGTAAATAGTGCAATTTCAGAACAACTAGCAGGCACAAATTGAACTGCCTACTAACTGTCTCGCCAATTCGGAAGAAAGTATTTTTTACCGTCCGATTCTTCAAGTGATGGGCTAGTATGTATAGGAATTGGGCCGCTATCTCTTCTAGCTCCATATTACGTGTGCCCTTCAACCCACCAACATCTCTAAGCATCTCACACAGGATGTAGAACGTTCTCCTATCCATGCGAAGCTCACTAATACAGGTAGTGTCGCTGCTACGAATTAGTTGGAACAACTTCTTATTTCTAAGTTCTTCATTTATTATCCTTCTCTCTATCTTGAAACACCTTCTTCCATAAGCCAATGCAAGAAAGAACCACATGTAATAGTACATGATGACGATGGAAGTCAGCATATTTCTAAGGGCCATGTTTCTTCTTCGAGTTCTTGTGGTTAAAGGAAGGCGAGCCATGAAGCTGGACACAACATTAGTAATATATATTAATTATTTAAGCACTAACTAGTAAAATAATCTACTATATCCTTAGAAAAAATGCATTGTTGCATCGTCAAGTAAGAATTCAGAGCAAGTGTCCAGCGACATATCATATTTGACATGGAGCAGAGCAACATACAACATGGATTTTTTTTACACTAACTTGACAACACAGAGCTATATTGATCATATTGTATAACTTCTAAAAATACAAAGCATAGCTATATTGTCAAAATAATAGATTTTAACACTAAATCAACCTTTTCTACGTGGTTTAAACTTATTTGGATTGCACTGTAATATTCACCAGTACACATACATTGTTTTTTGGATAACTAAAACAGCAGATTTTGGATTCAATTAATGAGAAATTTGTGCTGTTTTCAAGAGCATGCTCATTCTTTATGTCCACTCCTACTCTCTGCCGTGAGAACAAATATATATGGACTGACAAATAGGAGTATGGGACTATACAAACTAAATCGAATGGTTAATTAGATAAGTGAATGAATGAGCATAAATGTCAATTTCATCAACCGTGTCATTTGTATGGAATGGATCTGCTAGCTGGTCACTCAAATACAATTGCATGAAGGCATCAGTGGTGACATGGAATTGACAGTATGCATGAGATACTTTATTTTTGTTGACACAACAAAAATATCTCCAATTTTATTCAAAGTTCACAGCACCCGGACATGTATCCTACTTTTGCAACACAAGCGCATGAAACAAATAGGGATTTGAGAGGGAGAGGAGGAAGGCAACCACAATGTCATACCTAAGGCAAGGGAGAACAGAGGTTAGGGTGAAGTGCCTTGCTTGCTCCGCGCCACGTCCTCTTCTCCTCCGTGCAAGGATCTTGGACTTGAAGAAAAAAGGCCATCTAGGGTTCAGAAAGAAATCGCGATGTTGCACGGGGAGAAGAGAGGAAAGGGGAAAGAGAAGTAGAGGAGAGGCGGAGCCATAGAGAGAGCTCACCATCGAGCGCGTCCTCTTTTCCGTGCAAGGATCTTGGACCTGAAGAAAAAACGCCATCTAGGGTTTAGAAATCGCGCTGGTGCACGGGAGAAGAGAGAGAAGGACAGGAGAGGAGAGGTGGAGCATTAGAGAGAGCTCACCGGTGAGCAGGGAGGGTTTGTGGTCACCGCCACCGCCACCGCCGCTGTGCGAAGGAGGAATACCACGCGGGGAGAGAGGAAGGCGTTGACTTCGAGCGGTGGAGACGAGGGTCGCGTAATGAGATAAGGGACCGGGAGGGGCGGTATCAGACTTGAACGGAGCGTTATCCGATTGACGTTATGTTTTAATGGGCCATGCTGAACCAAACGACTGTATCGTCAATCAATCCAGGATGTATTCAGATGCCGTTACATTTTGCCGAACCAAACAGCTTGTTAGTGTATATCCAAGCTACAAATTGTGACAACAATCAAGCAATAGCTAGAACAAGATTGTTAATAGGGCCAACTTATTCCATCCATTGGTCTCGCAAAAAAAACTATTCCATCCATTGCAAAATATATAAGTTGTTTCAGTTTTTTCTAAGTCAAACTTATTTACTTAACCAATTTTTTA